TGCAATATAAGTTCCAAAATAGTTCAACAATATCATTTCCAAAATAGTGCAATGTAGCAGAATATCATGTCATGTGTGTCAATATTATAATCTACTCGCCAGAGAATGTAGAAATACGTCTATTACCCACACATAATAGTACAAGGAACATCGCTTGCACCTCACCTCAGTCTCACCATCTTTTATGTACCACATACTCAGGCTTACCGTATAGGTAGAACACCACATGCATATCATAAAGTCATTGCACATATCAGCTCAAAAGCATTTCATTATATCAAAGCATGTAACACAGCATGCATATAACCATTCCCCCATGGGGTATGGTAGAACTACACAATGGGTAAACCGAGGACACGAAAGCTTACATCTCAAGCTAACTATCCAAGCCAAGAGTCCAACCAATGCTCACAGCCCAAACACAGCGAAATCACAATCTGATATGGACCAATAATATATCAATAAACATGCACTACAAGCATACATCACAAAGAGAACGCCTTCTCTTACGTTTTACGTCTTTAGGCTCCTCACAAAGCCACAAGCTCTTAATCCATTGATTCTGACTTAGTCCAATTAATACAGAAGTCCAACTTCCTCAATCTAGGGTCCACAAACCCCCAAACATCAGTTCTGGATGAACAATAAGCTACTGTTCCTCGCAAACCCAAAATATCCGGATATTTGTTGGGGACATATCCGGATATCACTCTACCAATATCCGGATATTCATATTCGGATATTCAGATCCCCATATCCGGATATCCATATCCGGATATTTCGCGACAGAATACAATTCTGCATTTCGCGAGATATCCTTCCCAAAGATGGCTCATTTCATGCATCCAGAAGCTTAAACATGCGATTTAAGGTGTGTTTAACAATACCCAACGTTAAGTTATCAACTTTAATCCATTACATGCATCAAGGTTCCATCTTTAACCACTAAACTCAAGATCAAAGGTTGGTGAAGCTTACCCAAGGTTCAAACAGCAACCATAGGTGCTCTTGGAGCTCACAAGTCAGCTCCAAGGTACTAACTTCAAGGGTGCACGAAAATTCACTTCAAGGTGGGTTCTTTCTTCACAAAGATGACCACTTGAAGCCCTCACCACCAAGACAAAGCTCCAACCACCAAACCAGCACTCTCCCTTCCCCAAAACAGAAGCACAAACTCTGTATGTGGCTGACTCAACCCTCCTAAACCACTATACCAAGTGTTTACAAAGAAAGAAGGAGAAGAATCAAAGGAAAAGAGAAGACTTTGGAGGTTTTTCATGCAAAAACACTAAGGGAGAATATGAACAGCAAGAAGGCTCACTCCCAGCAGCCAACTCACGCATACAAGGCTGGAGGATCAGCCTAGGGTTGTGTGCAACCCTCTATTTATAGGCGGTTTAGAAATAAACACACAATATTAACTTTAATTGCTAAGCTTAGCATTTTAATCCCAAACTCAGGATTCTGAACCTACTCAATTTTACAAGAATTATCATATTTTTCTTATATTTTTCGCAGCATCTTTCCGGTACACGCTTTTTCATAGCCAGTATCAGTTCTGGCATCAGTTCTCACTATTTTAACTTGAAACTTGTTTTACCAGTCCTACATATTATTCTAGGAATATTCATGCACTTATTATAATTTTCTGGGATACTTCATCGGTACTCATTTATACCGAGTAGCAGAACTGGTATCTGCACTTTTCGTCAGAAAAGCGACTTTCAGCATTATTATTCACTTACCATAATTATTAGAGTCTTATAATAATTATTAGGGTTAATTATGAAATTATCTCATTAAACTCATCATTAACTGATTAATTTCCTTAATTAACGGTGCAGGTTCTTACAATTTTCACCAACAAATTCAAAAACTGATAAATTCAATTAAATATTGATTTTTTTTTATTTTTGACTTTTTGATTTTCGATTTTCGATTCGATTACCGCAGTTTGAATCGGTTGATGAACATGATGGCGTAACAGTGGAAGAGGGTTTGGGAGTTGAGACACCGGAGGTGGTAGAGAGATGGGTTATTAGAGATTAAGTAATAAAATGGAAATCATAAAAAATAAAAAAGTTCCTCAAAAACTATAATAAAAAATTGATTAGCATAGTATTAAAATATAACTGCATAAAATTGGAACAAAATTAAAATAAAAATGAAAATAAAAAATAGTTTATGTTGATTTTAATTTTTTTTCATATTATTATTTTGTCATCTTTTATATATATATATATATATATATATATATTTGTATAATTTATTTTATTATTTGTAAAATGTGAAATATTTTTTAACATAAAAAAGTAAATTTGAAAATACAAAAAAAAAAATTCTTATAGGAAAAGGGATTAACAGAACCGTTACAGCTCTGTAGTTTTCATTCAGGATTTTAGATGTAACAATTTGACGGCCTGAATTTTTCTTTAAAGTTGTTTATTGTTATTTTTACTTTCAAAAACAATAATGTAAAAAGCTAATTTTGTTTCACAATATGAATAATGGATATTTACCCTTTTGTTTAAATTTTACACAAAATAAGTTTTTCAATTAAAAATTTATATATGTTCAATGTTATTATAGTTTAAATCCCTGCTACATCATTTTTCAGGTTAAATAATAGAAAATGTTATGCATATGATATTCTCTAAATTGGGCTGGATCAGAAACGGGCTCATATATTTGGGTTATGGGTCTGACCCATTATGTGCAAGCTAAAGCATATAAAAAAACATACGGCTACCATCTTCCCGAACAACACAGCCTTGGAGAATCAGAAGCGCAGTCTAGGGCTTCGCAGCGATATATTGAAAAATTGTGTGCAAGGAAGACAATGAAGAATGTTGTTGCAGATACTGGTTTAATGACTGCCCAGCATGCATATTTGCTGAAGGTGGTTTTCTTGCTGGTTTTGATGTTTGCCTTACTCATCTGAGATCTTCCTTGCCACTTTTTTAAATTATATATTTTTCTAAGAAAAAAATTTGTCAAAATTTTATTATCTTGGCTTTCAAAATTATGCTGCCAATACCAGTAATTATGAATTGTTATTCATTTTTTTTGTGGTCAGTTTTACAACTTATAAAAGCTGTTTTTTTTTTGCTAAGCTATGTTGTATGCCCCCAAAATGAAATTTCTTTCTAGCTTTTCAATCTCAAGGAAAAAGGAGGTATAATTAAAAGTCTCGTATTTGAATTCCGAAAATAGTTTTTGTGCAAATATATAAGGATGATTGCTAGATCTGTAGTCAAATGCAACGCCTCAACACATAACTTATCCGCCGATTCTTTAACATCATCCATTTCGGACCTCCACTTAATTTCACTCAAATTTTATCCTGGTTATGGATAGATCACTCAGCTTTGAATCCATAAGCAGTGACAATTCCCGGTGAAAGCTCGTATTCGCTACAGCTCTTGTGGTTTAGTCACCGGCTCATTCTTCAAAAGCATGTGTTGAGAACCCTGGCCGGGATTCTATTTTTGATTCGAATTCGAGAAACGGTTTTTCCCTACTCTTGCCTTATTTTAAAAATTTATTAGGAAAATTTTTGTCGCCCTAGTCTTGCCATGCCATCTGAAACTGAATCAGAGTAATTGAATAATTAATAAATTCATTAAAAAATCAATAAAATTATTTTTTACTAAACCATGTGTATTTTTTACAGATTTTTTTTATAAATTAAGACGCATTTGATAAAGGAAATATTTTTTTTATAGAGGAAATTTTTTTGAGAATGTTGGATTAATTTTAGTGATGCTATGTTTAGTTGATTGTAAAATATTCACGGGAATCTGAACATAAATAATAAAATTCGTCGTTTTGAATATTGAATCTCTTGTTAGTCATCAAATATGTTCATTTTATCATGATATTTTCATCTCAAAATATTGTTATGCATTTCCCAGTCGATGGAAAAAAAAAAATACCATGGGCAGAATAGTGTTATTTTTTGAGAATATGTAGTTAAAAATAAAATGATAGGAAAAAATATGCTGAGATTATTTTTACTTTTACTTGTACCAAATATGAGGAAAAATATTTTACCCCATTTTTCCAATACCAAAAAACTCATACCAAACATCCATTTATGTTGTGGGAAACATTCACGTTATGGTAAAGTTAGCTTTATGAAATTAGGTGTCACAAGATTAACTGCAACCCTAAATAATAATCATGGTTTTTCTATAACTACCAAGAGTAAATCAAGGGCGTCACAATTTGAGAAACAGGAGATTTAACTATAATGACCCGTTTGTATTCACTTGTCAAAAAAAAAAATTTATGACTTCTTTATTTTAAAAATATTTTCTATACCAGTTATAACTATTTAGATTTTTAAAAAAATATTTGATTTTTGAGAAAAATATTTGACTTTTAACTTCTGATTTTTTTAGAAGTTAAAATTTTTAGCTTCCGAAAAAAGTAGATTTTTGATTTTTTTTTATAATTTCTGTTTTTTTAAGTAAACATCCAAATAGACTTTTTTTGAGAAGTGCTTTTTTTTCTTTAAAAAAGTAACTTTTTCTTAAAAAAAGTAACTTTTTTTTAAAAAAAAAGTCCATCCAAACGGACTCTTATAATCCCCTAAAAGAGTTAAAACATGTAGGTATATAATGAGGGCGGACTTAAAATTGGTCTAAAAAGAGGGTAGGATATATTTATCATTGAAAAAGTTTATTATCTTTACAATCAACTTAATCACCGTTGATTTTCTTTAATCTAACAATTATGATTTATTGAGAATAATAATTAATTAATAAATGCGACCCAATAATTTTTAATAAATTATAACTGTTAGATTGATAGAAATAAATGATAATTAGATAATTATAAAAGTTAAACTTTTTGGACGGGTAAGCATATCGTTTTCAAAAAAAATAGCAACATCAAAACTATTTACGAAAAGATTAATTAAAATTAAGAGGGGGTTAATTTGCCTTTTAACTTTTATAATCTTCTCATCACAACACAAGTAACAATCTGTAGTTCTGATCAGTAAAAAATTAAGCATAAAGGGATGAAAAAAATGGAACTTCGGCGAAATGACCCAATAATTAATACAACAAACCGAAAAAGTTCGTTGTGGCGATCGATGGCGACGCCAGGCTCAGCCGCAAGCGGCGGAGCGTCGGCGAAGTCCATGGTGGCGGAACAGATCTCTCAGGCGGTGCAGTCCACCTCCAACCTCCTCCACCTCATGCAACAGACATCTCCTGCACAGGTTACTATCCTTGATTTTTAGAGAGAGAGAAGAAGAAGAAGCTTTCTGTGCCAATTTTATTGAAATTTCTAAAATAAAAAAGAAACTAACTTTGCTTTAAATCGATTTAATGAAAAAATTGATGTATGATAGAGGATATTGATGTTGTTTGAAACATGTTTGGACCCTCATTTATTGGGATAAGCCTTTATTGTTGTTGTTGTTTGATCTTAGGGTTTTGAGCTTTGACCCTTTTGAATCATTTGCAGGCTCAACTCATTAAGCTTCCTAAGAACCTTTTGGCAAAGGTTTCCACCATCAAGAATACAGAGCAGGTATTTGCATCTATATGATCCATGGTAGTTGATGAATGTGAACTAGTATGCAAAGTGTGTGATGTTGATGGTTGTTTTTGTGTTCTGTTGTTTGCACAGGTTTTAAACCAGATGCCTAGGGTAATATCAGCTCTGGATGCTCATATGGAAAATGGGTTACACAAGTTAGAACCTTTTCTTGTCTAATTGAATTTACTGTATTATTATTGTCATCTGTTTTTTGAACCTAGGGTGCATGTGAAGTGTTATGAGCTTCAACCTTGTGCTATGCTGCTAATTATGCTTGTTTAATATATATATTGATGCCTAGTGATTGAGGGGTACCGCATTTTTTATAAATTATTTTTTCCGTATGAAAAAACTTTCCTTATGTATGTTCACGTGGTCTGTCCCAAGCCAGGTAAAGAGGAAGGTTGTGCTAGGCGAAGGTAGTCAGTTGTAAAAGAGAGCTACTTTTATGAGATGAACCCAAATGATTGTTTGTGTATCAAAACTTTATGTACCTAAACTCAAATTTCCAATCTTTCCTCTACATAATTGTTGAAATATATAAAATCATTAATGTAACCTCATCCAATAGCTTAAGCTTTTGGGTTAAATTGGTTCTTTACATGGTATCAGAGCTTCGCCGCCCCCCACTTTCTTTTGTGGCGTTTTTTAGCACAGGTAGGTTGGGCCTGTTGCATTGCCCACTCTTCAAGCACAATGGGCTCTCGTGTGAGGGAGCGTGTTGAAATATTTAGTCACACATTGGTTGTATGTGCAACTAATGTGGAGTTTATAAGGCCTTGGACACTCCCACCCTTTGAGCTAGTTTTTGGGGTGGTGTATCCCAAGGTTCTTTACATGTTGAGATATATAGTCCCACATTGGTTGTATGTGCAACTAATGTGAAGTTTATAAGGCCTTGGACACTCCCACCCTTTGAGCTAGCTTTTGGGGTAGTGTATCCCAAGGTTCTTTACATGGTATCAGACCCTCGTGTCCTGGGTTCGATCCTCACCGGCCCCCACTTTCTTTCTAGTGGAATTTCTTTATTCGCACAGGTAGGTGGGCCTGTGCATTGTCCACCCTTCAAGCCCAGTGGGCTCTCGTGTGAGGGGGCGTGTTGAGATATATAAAATCATTAATGTAACCTCACCCAATAGCTTAAGCTTTTGGGTTGAATTGGTTCTTTACAATAATCACGTGTATTATCAGTGTATGATATGTCATTAATTATGCCTTACCGTGAGTTGCAAATCTGCAGTATTCCACATCTGAAGACTGTGGTTCAGTTACTTGCAAATATGGAAAGCAGCCAGCTTAGTTCATTGTCCCAAACCCATCCTCTCAAGGTATAATAGCTTTGTCACAGATACTCATGTATCTTACCTTGTAAATGAAATTGAAAATGAGGGAAATCTAGGAAAAGGAAGCCGAGAAAAGAACTTGAAAAGGCTCCTTTGGGTGAACTGCTAAAGGCTTGACAGAAAAGTCTTTGTTCTTCAAATGCTTTTTACAATGTACCTTTCTCCATCAGGGAAAAAAGAAAGGAAGAAAGATATTTTAAAAAAAGCTTGTGCGTGAGTGAGTAACTTTTTGAATGAGTTTGGTGCTCTCCGTGACTGATCGTTTTCTATCATTTTCCCTTATCAGGAACTTGAACCAGGGAACCATTCTCAAGGGACAGGTTAATGGAATGTATGTTGCTTGGGAGTCTCACCTCTCATCTATTCATGCAGAATTTTTGGAAGGTTTGAAACCTAACTGATCATCCTTAATTTCATCATGCCGGATATCTTCCTTCTTGGAGTCTTCTTGCAAAATGTTGTTCCCTTTAGCCTCTTGTTCTATTAATCTCATTAATTCAGGAAGAGGTTCACAACTTTTTTTATTATCCTTATCAGCATGATTAGTGGGGTGATTAAAATCATAAAATAAGATTCTAGTATTGTCAATTTCAAAAGAATCACTTTCAAATATGTATTTGGTCTTAACACACAAAAAAAAAAAAAGTAAAGAAAAGAAAAGAAAGACTAATAAATATTAATGTAGTGATGAGGTGAGAGGTAAAGAAACCAGGATAAATTAGAGAATGCATTTATTGATAGCAAATACTGAAAAAGAAACATGTGAGCCCGCTTTACAAAAAATCTTCCCCTTCAGCTGAGCAATACAAAATTACTGAGTGAGAATCTAAGATCATGGGCAACTTGGTGATCTCCCAATTGTGGAGCTCTGTACCTGGAGAACATCAATAAACCAGGTTAATGCTATGGTCGATAGGATGATCCAACCTAGGAAAATCGCGAACCTAAGACTAAGGGGATTCCTGTTTATGACATACGACAAAATTTTCGAAGCTTCGGGCTGCTGTTTTTGGTTCAAGTGAGCGCTATTGAGGATGTTCATCCTATCGATCATCCTATATATTTGTACATGTAAACATTTTCAGCTTGTTCTTTTGGTTTTTTCATCTTTGATAATCAAACTTTCGCCAAATGTTATGTGCAAAGTAATGTGTAAGAATTCACACCGTTAAATTAGGAATTTAATTAATTTAGTTAAGAGCTAAGAGATAAATTCCATAATTGACCTTGAATAATTATGAGTGAGTTTAAATAATTATGGTAAGTGATTAATAATGTTGAAAGTCGCTTTTCTGACGAAAAGTGCAGATACCGGTTCTGCTTCGCGGTATAAGTGCGTACCGGTGAAGTATCCCGAAAATTATAATAAATGCATAAATATTCCTAGATTAATATTTAGGACTAGTATGTCAAGTTTGGAGTCAAAATAATGAGAACTGGTGTCGGAACTAATACCGACAGCGAGAAAAATGCGTACCGAAAAAGTGTTGTGAAAAAATAAAATAAATATATGAAAATTCCTAAAAGAATATCTAGGTTAAGAATCTAAAATTTTGGAGCTAAAGGAAGAGCGGAACTAATTAAACTAATACTGCTAGTTTAACTTAAGTGACAATATAAATAGAAAAGGGGATCAAAACTCTAAGGTTTTTTAAAAGACTCAGCAGCTGAGTGTGGCAGCCATTTGGGGGTTTTCTTGGAGTCTTAGTCTTCTCCCTTGAAAAGTTTCCAAAGTTTTCATTTTTTTCCTCCTCTCCTCCATTGAAACATCACCCAACCATTAAAGCTCTAGTCTTGTTGAAGGAGAACTCATTGTTGAAGGATTTAGGTGTTTTTTCAACCTCTCAAGCTTTCATTTTTCTGTTCTCAAAAGGATCCAAGGTGAACTTAACTATTGCCAGTAAATCCATAAATTGATTATAAACATTGTTACATGTAACTGTTACAATAGCATTTCAAAAATGTCTGTGCGCTATTTTTATTCGGTTAGATGGCCATTCCTTTTGTCATTTGTATATGTTTGGGCTTCGTCGATTTGCGTGAATTTACAATGAAGATTCTGCACTTTCTATAGCAATTCGATTTCGGTCAGTGTTACTTAATATATTTAATGCCTTTTGTGCATTCAAGTTGGTCAAAGTTATATATTTATATCAAAGTTATATATCGTTAATTACCTGACTTCATGATTATATATATGTCAATGCTAGGGAGTCAGAGGCGTTAGAAAAAACATGCTTTTATAAGATGTCACGTATTCTTATATATATATATTGTTGTAGGAATCGTTATATATATATATATATAAGATAATAATTATCTAAAATTAAATAAGTTAAATGATATGTTTTAGAAAGGATCTCCAGGTTCGAAATGAAAAAGAAAATAATACCCAATTTTCTTAGAATTTTAGAATATGTATATTGATACAAAGATGGTCATTGAACCAGATCTGTGAGTGCATTGGATTCTATTTGTGGTGTGGACCCTTGTGATACCGAGTTCGAGTCGGAGGGGCATACGGGTACAGGTAAACTTTCGTGTCCTCGGATTGATCTGTTGTTTGTTCCACCGACCTCTATGGGAGGGTGGTTTATATGCATGGTATGCTTTTATGAAAATGTTATATGCATTGATATATGTCTGAGATATGTGAATATGTCTGTTGATTACTTACACAATCAGACTGCGACTCTGGTGTGTAAGGCATGTAGTGTGTGGAAGTGATGTTGTTTACTTAAACAATCAGACAGCGACTCTGGGTGTGTAAGGCATAAGACTGCGACTCTTATGTTTAGATGGGTCGCAGACGTGCATAATCCCTATCTTGTTCCCTGGCCAGTCGAACCGCATTTACATACATCATATGATTACTGAGTTAAATGTTTAGCTCGTTGAGCAAGAGATTATACTGTCATGATTTATATGCTTAACATGAACATGCATTGAAATTACTGTTTTGAATTTATATTATGCTTGTAAGAGAGCTTGGGGCAGAAGAGTCCTTGAGGACCCCTTATCTTACTGAGATTTCTGTTTAGAGATCTCACCCCACGTTTGGGGCACATTTTTCAGGATCAGGTACCTCGGGGGTTAATACCTCGGGTGGCAGGAGGTCGGAGCTGAGTTGAGATTTATGTTTTTATGATGATATGCTTGGATGCTGACATGTTTTACATTTATTATGATGTTATTGGATTTGAGACTATGTTGGACTTTGTTGCCATATTTGGTGAGCATGGGGATTGTTCATGTCACATTGATGTTAGTTATGCTTGTAGTTTTGAGTTGTATAAACTATTAGGATGGTCCGGTCTACGTGTTGTAGTTCCGTGACTAGAGACATATTTACTTAATATATGAGGTATTTCAGTTAGTTGTTTGATTGCAAATTATATACCGGCAATGTTTTGAAAATGATTAAATAATCAACTTGGTAAATGATAATGACGTCATAATTGAAAAGAAAAAGTTTATTTCGTATTTTAATTAAGCGTAGCTTAATACGATTACATGATAACAAATCGGGTATACACGGGGTGTTACATGATGCATCTTTTATTCTTTTTATTTAAATCAATTTTCCTTTTGTTGCTATGGTACTATTTCCAGACAGAAAAAACCACCTACTGCGATGGTGGCATGCCGCAGAAGTACCATATTTGAAGGATTATATTAATATAATCTAAATATTAGGAGTAGTTAATTATTTTAGTTTTATGGTGTGTATGTTTTATAATTTAAATAGGTCAGTTATGTATTTCCGTTTGAATTTAAATTGTTTTGTTTAATTACAGTTATAAATGCTGATGTTATAACTACTTGTGACTGCTGATATTATATAAACCATTTTGCTTGTGACTGCTGATATTATATAAACCATGTAATAGAAATCAGAAAAAGAAGAAGGATGAATTAACTATGTTTCTATTCCTTTTCTTCTGTCCTCTGTAACCTCTCTTAATTTCCTCATGCGGTTCCCCTTCACGGCACTTCTACTCCCGAGTCCCTACGACACCACAACGTTGTCTCCCTAAGTTTTTTATTCTACTTCATCAGTACTAAATTCAACAATAATTGTTATTCTCTTTTGATAAAAGAGATTTTAATGTAGATAGAGAAGGATGAAGGAATACTAAAGTCAACACTAAATTTTCACATTACCGATAAAAGTTAAGACTGAGACAAAAGTTAGTATGAGATGCAGATTTTGGCCAGCAAAATGTGCTTCTTGACCCTTTTATTCTTTATTAATTAAAAAATAATTATTTTGCCCTCGTTTCAACATAATATACCAATCTGCTCCTATTTAATCGATTATAAGAGAAAGTAATCGATTAAATATTAAAAAAAGCTTTGTTCACAATTTAATCGATTAATTAATTGATTACATGTAATTTTTTTTCTCTTTTTTTGCGAACCCCTATCTCTCTGTATTTTTCCTATAAAATTTGGCCACTGATAGCATTATACTCACTTCTCTGTTGACACTTGAGATTTTTGTGTGTAAAGTTGATATTTTACTTTTAATTGAACTTCTGCGGTTACCGGTTACTCAATTGAAAATTTTCTGGTTTCAGTGTTTCTTATTTTTTTTATTTTCTATGCAAAGTTGAGATTTTGTTTTTAATTGAGTTTTTGGGGTTGGTGTTTTGGTTAGGTACACTTTGTGGACTGCAGAGTACAGAATGTCCCTGATGAGGAATTTTGATATATCGCCTTGTGGGGCTCAAGAGTCGAAGCTGGAAACTAGTTCGGAGATTTTGGAGGTGAAGGGTGGAGGAGAGGATGATGGGAAGATTGAGGTTGTTTCTAATTTGGGGTTCAAGGATTTGGAAAGTTGCAGCGGCAGTGATTTGGAAAGACATGTATGTGGGTTGCTGATTTAGTCTTGCGAGTCACACAGAAGTGAGTATTAATGCCCATGTGTTGGTGGCAAAATTTTAGGGCAAAACACAGAGAAACATAGAGATAGGGGTTCGCAAAGAGAGAGAGAAAAAATTACATGTAATCGATTAGTTAATCGATTAAATTGCGAACAAAGCTTTTTTTTAATATTTAATCGATTGCTTTCTCTTATAATCGATTAAATAGGAATAGGTTCGTAAGAACCCGCACCGTTAAATAAGGTATTTAATTAATTAATTATGCAAAATTAGGAAATGATTTCATAATTGACCCTAATAATTATATTGAGGCTCTAATAATTATAGTAAGTGATTAAGAATGTTGAAAGTCGTTTTTCGGAAGAAAAGTGCAGATACCGATTCTGCTAGTCGATATAAATGCATACCGAAAAAGTATTCCGGAAAATTAATGTAAGTGCACGATAATTACTAGAATAATATGTAGGAGTTGTAAAACGAGTTTCAAGTTCAAATAATGAGCACTGGTGCCAGAAACTGATACTAGCTATGAAAAGCGCGTACCAGAAAGGTGCTCAGAAAAATATTATAAAAATATGTTAATTCTTGGAAAAATGTGTAGTTTCAGGTTCCAAAGTTTGGGATCAAAATGTTAAGCGTAGCAATTAAAGCTAATACTGCGTGTTAATCTTTAAGTGGACTATATATACCCTCATTAAGGACACATTGCCCTAGATAACAGAAATCCCTGTGTGAATAGTGTTGGTGGCTGACCAAAAACTCAGCCCTTTGGTGTTCTTCTTCCTTTTCTTAAGGTTCTAGGCCATTTCCTTCTTGATTCTTAACTTTTTCTCTTGTAAACACATTGGGTGAGTGTGAACAATCCTTGTGAGTGAGAAAGTGACTTCATTTCTGAGTTTGGCTTCTGTCTTGAGAGGGTGAGCTTGCTGTTTTCACGTTTTGGGAAGGAGGAGCTTTCCTTAGGTGTTGTGAAGCTTCAAGGAGCTTCCTTGTTGTGTAAAAGAACCACCTTTGTGCACCATTTTCGTGTACAGAGAGAGACAGAACCTTGGGAGTGCCTAGTGAGCTCCAAGGGCCTCCTTGTTCTGAGTTTTGAGCCTTGGTATGTTGTACAAACCTTTGATCTTGAGTTTTATGCTTAAAAATGGAAACTTGATGCATGTTAAGCTAAAAGATGATAACTTAACGTTGAGTAATGTCTAACACACCTAGAAATGCATGTTTAAGTGTTTATAATCGGTAAAAACCCAACCTTTGAAGGATATCTTCACGAAATGCAGTTTCTGCATTCTGACGTGAAATATCCGGATATCTGCCCGTGGAATATCTGGATATTGGATATCCGGATATGGGATTCTGGATATCCAGATATGCACAGTGGGATATTCGGATATTGCATATCCGGATATGTGCCCGAGGAATATCCAGATATTCTGGGATTTCGTAGAACAGTAGCTGTGCTGTGTGTACAGTAGGCTATTGGAGGTTTGTGGACCCTAAATTGATGAAGTTGAACTTCTGTAATTAATGGACTAATTCAGAATCATGTGATTAAGGGCTTCTGGCTTTGTTGGAAGCCTCAAGACGTAAATCGTTAAGGAGAACGTAGTCTTTATGTGAATGCTTTTGAGTTGTATGTTGATACACTTGCTGGTCCTAAATCAGATTGTGATCTGCTATGTGTTGGACTTGAGCTGTGAGGACTCTTGGCATTGGATAGTGGGCTTGCAAGGTAAGCTTTCGTGTCCTCGGTTTAGCCATGCTGTGGTTCCACCATGTCCCATGGGGGTATGGTTTATGCATGCTATGTTACATGCTTTTGATGATTTGGAAATGTAGTTGAGCTATTGTATGTTAGTGCCTTGTTGATATGCATGGAGGTGTTCCACCTATACGGTAAGCCTGAGTATGTAGAACATACAATAGGGTGAGGCTGTGGGTGAGGTACAAGCGGTGTTCCTTGTACTACATGTAGGTATAGACGTATTCCTGCATTTCTCTGGCCAGTAGATAGCGATAAACACACATGCCATAGATATATGTTGCACTACATAGTTTTGGAACTGATAATGATATAAATGCTTTTAGAACTTATATTGCACATGTAAGTGAGCTTGGGGTGGAAGATCCTTGAGGACCCATTGTCTTACTGAGATTTCTGGTTTAGAGATCTCACCCCACGTTTGGGGAATGCTTATTTCAGGATCAGGTAATGTTGAGACCTCAGGCGGCAGGAGGCCAGAGCTAAGTTAGATTTGTTGTTATTTATGCTGTCATGTTGGATGCTGGATTTGCATGCTGCTTATATGTTTATAGCTTCAGTTCATGTTTATGGAGTTTTATGTTAAGACTTGTTGTTTACGCTGTTTATTTGATGAGCATGAGGATTGTCCATGACACATAGTATTGTTTCGTCTTGAGTCTTTTGGGAGTTGTAATAATGTATCAGGATATTGTCCGGATTACGAGATGTAATGCCGTGATTTAGATACACACTTTATTTATGTATTGAGGTATTTCAGTAGATGTCTTATTGCAATTTACATACATGCATTGGTTTTTATGAAATTGATTAAGTAATCAAGTTGGTAATTGATAATGACGTCATAATTGAAAAGAAAAAGAATATTCCACATTTTTAATTAAGCACCGCTTAATACGATGTAATGATAACGCTACCGGATATATATGGGGTGTTACAAGGTTGGTGTATAGTATTGGAACGAGGACAAAATAGTTATTTTTTTAATTAATAAAGAATAAAAGGTTCAAAAAATCCAGCAAAATGATTTAACAGATAAACAAGTGACAAACTTGAAAATGTTATAATTTACTATTATAATTATTAAGTTTCTTTTCTTTAAATTTACTTAAATATTATTTTAAAGAAACATAAATTAATTTTGGATTTTATTAATTTCATGTTAAAGGAGATAAGTTATCTTATGTCACAGAAATAAATTTATGGGTTTCATCACCTGAAAAAAGAAGAAGGAAAAAATGGCACTGTTATCGAAGAGTGTGTAGGAGGAAAAATTTATCTCATATGACATGAGAATAATTTATCCCATTAATTTTATGTAATAATTAATCTAAACATTTTTAATTAAAATCAATTAAATAAATTATTTAAAATTAATATTTTTAAACTCTACTTATATAAATGAGTAAAGGAAATATTGATAAAATACTTAGCACATAGCCCATAACCCGTAGAGGGCCCGGTTGGGCTAACAATTTGTCGATCCAAACCATATTCAGTTTAATATGAATCTGACTGCAATTAAACTAAGTCATAACAGGTAGGGGTGCTAAACGAGTCAGGGACCTTTGGCTCGGCTCGTAAAGGCTTGAGCTTACATATCTAAAATTGATGGTTGGACTCAGGCTTGGACTTGTATAAAAGCTCGTTTAATAAAAAGGCATCAGGCTCCAATTCAAAAGCTCGACCTTAGAGCCTCTCAGGCTTGCCTAATATATTAATTTTAAACTTTTTTTATATTTTTTATACTTCTTGTGATAGTCTTCTCTCTTTCCTCAATCCATTTCATCTTATTTTATTAATTAAACAGACTTTTTGAATGATTTTATTTCATATTATGCTATTTGAATATACATTAAATTTATGAATATTTATGGAATTACTGGTGCTCTTGATTGTATATTTTGTTTGAATAAATTTTTGTTGTCTTATTTTTTTAAAACAGGCTAATAGGCTAAACCAGACTTTTATTTTTTGTAAATAAGACAGGCCACAGGCTGAAATTATATTCATGACAGGTAACAGGCTTGGCCAGGCTGACACATTTAAATACAGGCTTAGCCTTTTAAGACCAAAGCTCGGCTCGGCTCGGCCCGTTAACACCCCTAGTAACAGGTTATCTGAAATGGACTGGGCTTGCCCAATTTAACTCCCGTAGTCTTAATAGAGGTATATTACAACCCCAACCAAATTATACCTGCAATTAGGGGTGACAATTTTCAACCATTGAGATAATACGAAAACGACACAAATAATTTATATTCAAGTCAACCAGCTTTTAAATTTGTATCGTGTTCGAGTTGATAAAAATTGATTTGAAAAAATTCATATCATGTTGCGTGTCAATCCGTGAACTCAAAATTAACCTGCATTAATTTTCTTACATGTTATTCGTGTCATGTCGTAAATATGTCATTTGTGTCTTATCGTGTCGTATTGAGTATTGACTGATATGATAAGTAACACAGTTTGGAGTTGATAGGTTATTTGGTGTTATGTCATATCATTCTAACCTGTATAATAAGCGATATATTATAAGTTTGTGAGTTATTCATGTCGTATCAACTTGCAAAATAAACATATTAAAAGTTTTAATCCGATTTCAAATTCATATTTTATTCGTGTCTCCCTGACTTGAATTATCACTTTTACCTACATCAGTGTTATTAAACTTACTACTGTATCAATTGGTTCTTTATTCAATCAGCGGCTATCGAATTGAATAGATTGAATCGAAGTTATATATATATAACACATAATCAATGAAAATTATGGGGAGAAAGTGAGTAATTTTTTAATTTAAATTTTAAATAAAAAAATATTAGTTTGTGTTTTTATCTCACATAAAATAACAAACTCTATATTCTTTAAAAAATAAATATTTTTCTATATCTAATAATGTCAACCTTATGAAAAACAATTGACTTTGAGGTAGTGGTAATTGTCACTTGTACTTATCTTTTAGGAAGTTGGAGTTTCGATCATTCCATATCAATTGAAAAATTCATTTTTAAATTCGTTTCATAACTAGTTCATCAATTTCATTCCAATTCCCAAACATAACCGGTTAGATCGAACCGATTGGTTGACATATTTTTTTATGGAAGCAATCTGATCCAATTTTAATAGGGGAAGGTTATATTTATCACCGTAAAATTTATCACCCTTACAACTAGTGTTTAAAAACCCGACCCGACCATCGACTCGGCAGAGATCAGGGGTCACGGGTTCAACCGGGGAATCACGGGGTCACTATGCTGACCCGATTTTATATATTAAATATATATATATATATATGTGTGAAAATATTAAAAAACAAATCACCAATCATCAAAAATTCAAAATATACTTAACATAATTCATCAATTACAACCACAAGTCAATATTACACAACCTAATTAAAGTATCAAGATACCAAAGTACAAAACTCATAATCTAATGGGGTCACTACGCTGACCCGGTTATGCCTCTTTTGAGAAGGTCCATGACAATGGAAAATTTAGAAGAAGTAAGAATGAGTTTTTGTTTTCCATCGACGACCGTAAGGATTTCATTTGAATGGGTAAAATTCTTACCTTTTTCTGGAAGATTCAGGGCAGCGAGGTGAAGATTGAAGACATCTAGGTCACTGGGAGAGAAGATAACGATTAGATTTAGGTTTGCAAGCATTTTTATTTTATTTTTTTAATAAAACGATGTTGTTTCATGAAATTTTTTTCTTAAAAAAAAAAATGCAGTGACCCTGTGAGGTTTTAAAACACTGGACTAGAGATGGCAAAGTGGGTGGCTCATCCTGTTCCGCAATTAACCCGCTAAAAAATGAGCCACCACCCTACCCGTCTAGTTTGATTGGCAGGGCGAGTTGGCACGGCAGTCAAAACCTATTTTATGTTGACCTGACTCGTCACCTTTGCCCGACCATCAACGCCAAAAAATAAGTCAGTCCGTCTCGTCCTGCTTTTGAGAATGGACTGTAAAACTCAGCCAGCCCCAATCCATCACAAATAATCGTCGCAAATTTTCCATTTTTGCAACGGGTAAATCATCTGTCATAATTTGTGACGGTTTTGTGACGCCTTTACGACGGAATGTGCATGAAAAGATGGGCCCAATTTTGTCGCAAAACTTACTTCGTCACAATTTCCATCGCAATTTGCGATTGTTTTTTCGTTCGCAAAAAACTCGTCTCTATTATTTGCCCATAGTGCAAGTTCATGCGTTATATATAGTTGTGAGTCATGAATAATGTACTTGGGTTTATGTTAGGATCTACAATCGGAATTAAAATCAACTTTAAAGAGCCCTCTACCGGCAAAAAAATTTAATTATTGCATTTTAATTAAATAATTGCGCATTTATTGCAGTTTCGGGAATAATTACGAATTTATTGCACACTGTGATGCCCAAAATGGGCGTCACATGTGACCCCCGAGTGCGTCTCACCCTAAGGGGAAGACGCCCCAATGGGGCGTCTTTCATCTGGTGTTGACACGTGTCATACTTTTTTCCAAAATAATAATAATTTAATCATAAAACTTCTGAAGACCATAACTTTTGACTCGGGTATCCAAATCAGGTAATTCTTTTTTTGATTCCACATAACTTTTCGAGATCTACGCAATGACATCTCATTTGATATATTTTATTTCTCACAAACATAATTTAAAATTCCCTCCCATATATAGTGTTTGTAGTCTTTTCATAGTAGTCTTTTCATTTGCAAGGATTAGTGAATAAAAAATTGTGATTCGAATTGCATAAATGACAAAAAGGTATTTAAGAAAAAAAGGAATAAAACCGAAACCGCAATTCTACGAAATAGTGTAGACTGAGATGACGTCGTCTTGTGGCGAAAATCATGGTGTATTTTTAATTCTAATTTAAGGCAGCTATACAAAAACACCATGAATACAAATGAATAGTTGTATAGAAATGAATAAGGCAGCTATACAAAATTACAAAATACAAATACCAACGTTATGATTCAAATCTAAACTTAAATGTAAATAATAACCTGATGATTCAAATCTAAACATAAATGCAAATAGTAATGTCATTCTATAATTCAAATGCCGATATGATTCTATTTAGATCCTAGTCAAATGAGAAATAAAATTGTGTTTGTGATAAATAAAATATGTCAAATGAGATGTCATTGCGTAGATCTCAAAAAGTTATGTGGAGTCAAAAAAAGAATTACCTGATTTGGATACCCGAGTCAAAAGTTATGGCCTTCAGAAGTTTTATGATTAAATTATTATTTTTTTTGGAAAAAAGTATGACACGTGTCAACATCAGATGAAAAACGCCCCATTGGTACGTCTTCCTTTTAGGGTGAGACGCCTCACTGGGACGTCACATGTGACGCCCATTTTGGGGGTCACATTGTACAATAAATTTGTAATTATTCTCAAAACTACAATAAATACGTAATTATTTAATTAAAATGCATTAAATTAATTTTTTTGCCATCAATTATGATAACCACCGTAGGGCCGATTGAATTGAGGAAATCGCAAGGCCCAATTAGAAGCAAAAGTTTGACCTCCTGAAATGTCTTGGCCGAAAGTCAAGCTCGGGTTCAAAATAGAAAATGAAAGTTTTATTTTCATGATATGCTATATGTTTAGTTATGATTGAACCATTCGTTGTGTACTTTGGGGTTTGATGCGCTCAACTATACGTACCAGTATAATCAATACCCTTTATTGATGTATAATTTGTCGGGCTTGCATGGTTTCTCATTTGGGAGATTTAAATTATTAAAACGTAGTAATCTCTGGACGAATTAAAGTTGAACCCTTTACTCAACCAAACCATTCACTGCTATTCTTCAACATGCACATTACATTGAGGAATATAAAAGAAACAGCCACACATGTTACACTGAGGAGCAGAAAGCAACTGTAAAGAACTTGCAATACACCACTTCAAAAGCTAGTTCAAAGGGTGAAAGTGCTCAAGGCCTTATAAATTTCATCTTAGTTGCACATACAACTAATGTGAGACTATATATCTCACCACGCCCCCTCACACTAGAGCCCATTGAGCTTGAAGGGTGGACAACATACAAGCTCATCTATATGTGGAAATTCCACTACAAAGAAAGTGTGAGGCATTCCACTATAAAGAAAGTGTGAGGCGGTGAGATTTCGAACGCTCTAATACTATGTAAAGAATCTTGGAATACACCACCCCAAAACTAGCTCAAAAAGTAAGAGTGCCCAAGGTCTTATAAACTCTACATTAGTTGCACATACAACCAATGTGAGACTATATATCTCACCACGCCCCCTCACACTAGAGCCCATTGGGCTTGAAGGGTGGACAACATACAAGCCCACCTATATGTGGAAATTCCACTACAAAGAAAGTGTGAGGCGGTGAGATTTCGAACGCTCTGATACTATGTAAAGAACCTTGGAATACACCACCCCAAAAGCTAGTTCAAAAAGTAAGAGTGCCCAAGGCCTTATAAACTCTACATTAGTTACATATACAACCAATGTGGGACTATATATCTCAACAGCAACCGTTAACAATAGGAAGTTTTTATTCTTGTGACACCAATCAACACCGTTATTTTTAAAGTTCATTATGTCCTGAATTCCAGGGACCTTGTTCATGATGGTTACGATCATCAAGCCCACCATTCTTGCGAGGCAATATCTTAGAAAGAGATGGCCAATTGGGAAGGATTGGCTTCACTTTTCCGCCGACAATGTAGTCAGCAGTTGTCCCTGGTGCAAAATTGATAAGTGCATACTTCTCTCCTTTGAAAATGTAAGCTTCATCCTTCCTGTGGGAGGCGAAAGCAGCATCAAATCCACTTGCAAAGATGGTGCCCACCAAACCAGAAAACCCATCGGAGATATTACGAATGGCAATGACATGCTTGGAATTATAGTTTATTAGAGCGTACTGGTCGTCTCTGAACAAGTAAGCTTCATTTTTGCGAGATGACCTAAATGCAGCGTCTATGCCATTTTCAAACCCCGTATTTGTGAAGGAGGGAAACATGGCAGTGATTGTCGTAGGACCTCTGAGTATTTTGTCATCTTTGGTTCCTGGAGCATAGTCTATATAGGCACAGAGATTCGCCGAGAAGATGAATGCTTCATTGTAGTCAGTGTCAAATGCACAGTCTATTCCATATTCTCCGAATGAAGTAGCAATAAGCGATGGAAACCCATCGCAAATAAGAAGCGGCCCATTCACAATCTTGTCACCCGTTGTTCCCGGAGCATAATTCAACAGAGCGTATTCATTTTTCATGAATATATAGGCTTCATTTGTCTTAGATGAACGGAACGCAGCATTTATATAACTAGGAACATCTGCAACATCATGACCATACCACTTTTGCAAGGCATCCCAGTTGGGATTCGAGACTTGTCTTTTCCGTCTCATATTCGCAGGAGGTGTATAAGTTTGATAGGTTAGTGTCCAATGCCTACCATCATCATTGCAGTAATAAAATACAGGTCTCTCAATTAGGAGCTCCGTATCCGGATCCGACAGCAGTGGATTGAAATGCCCGTTTAATACTATTACGGTACCTTCCCTGCGGATTGTCGCATACCTGGCATTAAAAGCTAACTTGAAATTAATATATTTTACTCATTATTTATTATTTGGGTCCCTTAATTTATCTTATCTTACAAAACTTTTTTTTTTTTTTTTTAAATTTGGGTTCATTTTAATGTTTTTTCTTAAAAGATAATGTCATTCTTTATAAAATTAAAAACTACATGGTAGATCCCTTAATTTATCTTATCTTACAAAACTACATGGTATATATATATATATATATATTTTCATGTTATAAAATATAATTTTTATTTTCTAAATATATATAAAAGTGCGTGAGTTTTATATTTTTCTTTTCTATCTTTTCTCTTTACATGACTCCAAAGGGCTCCACACACTTTTTATGTATATTTATAAGATATAATTATTTTCTGCAACATGAAAAATATTAATCTCATATATATATATATATATTAGAAAAAATATTTGTCAATGACACAACTTTAATACATATTTATTGATTTTTTATATTCTTTATTTCACAAAATTAAAAAAAAAAAAAGAGAAAATATTGTGAAGGAAAATAAAAGTACAGAACAATCAAATTACAATCATTTCACTTATGTAATTTAAAATGTGAAACGTTAGATATATTGACACATGAATAAAAAGTTTTATAACTAATCTTAAATATTAATTTCGCTCATATCTAATATGTTCCGTAACTAATAAATTATAATTATTAAATATAAAAGTGACTATAGCAGTATAGCACAGTTAAATAAGCTACAAAGTCACAGACCTTGCTCCAGCTGACCGTGCGGCCGTGAATACTTGGGCAGAGCGAATGTATTGAGGTGCAACGCCGCCAACAAAGCAAACTTCTTGTTGATTAGGGTACTGGCATAGATTGCCAAGTGTCCCAGGAACCCAAATACCACCGGGAGCATAGACCTCGTAACGATAGATTCGAATCTGCCCCCCAGATGGAAGGGTATCCTGGTTAGGATCTGGATGCCAGGCAACATTAATAGTGGTGCTAACGAAGGCATGCCTTGTAGGCCTATCAGGATCAAGAGGCGCACCAGCATTGTTGACATAGTCATACAAATCGTAGTAAGTGTTGGTGGGAGTGCCTTCTTGAGTGCTTGCTCTGAATCCATTTTGAAAGATCTCCTGATAAGGCCTTATGTCCCAACGGAACAAGCGGCGCGTGACATCAGAGTTATGGTCGCCTATTCTGTATACGATATTAGCCAAAGGTGGATTTCGTACAATACAATTAACGCGGTGAACAGTGTTCACCATATTTTGAGCTGCTCGTAAATCTTCTTGACTCACAGGCTGTGCAAAACTTGATGAACACCCTCTGCACGGCGAATTTGGAGGGATTGACATCTTTGCTAACAGAGGAATGAAGGTAACTTCTAACAGAGGAAAGAAGGTAACTTCTAACGGAGGAAAGAAGGTAATTTCTAAAGACGATTTATTTTTTCAGGGATAACAATCTTCCGAAAGGAAGAGGGAAGGATAAACTCTAGGAAAAGGGATATGTATATATATACACACACACTGGGTACCTCTTCCCATGCTAGTAATGCTTCCCAATTGTCACCCACTTAGGTTAATCTCAAGGTTCCTACCACACTAAAAGTGTCTCACTCAGACTAATCCCAGGGCTCCTACCACATTAAAAGTGTTGGCAAAATTTGATTCGTTAAATTTATCTGCTTTTCAATTGCTGTCCATTTGGATTAATCTCACGGCTCCTACCACGCCAAAAGTATCGACAAAATCTGATTCGTCAAATTTATTTGCTTTCCAACCGTCACCCACTTGGATCAATCCCACAGCTCCTGCCACACCAAAATTGTCGGCAAAATATGATTTGTCAAATTTATCTGCTTCCCAACTGTCACCCATTTGGGTTAATCTCACGGCTCCTACCACACTAAAAGTGTCGGCAAAATCTGATTCGTCAAATTTATCTGCTTCCCAACATCACCCACTTGGATCAATCTCACGGCTCCTGTCACACCAAAAGTGTCGGCAAAATGTGATTTGTCAAATTTATCTGCTTCCCAACTGTCACCCATTTGGGTTAATCTCACGGCTCCTACCACACCAAAAGTGTCGGCAAAATCTGATTCGTCAAATTTATCTGCTTCCCAACGTCAACCACTTGGATCAATCTCACGGCTCCTGTCACACCAAAAGTGTCGACAAAATCTGATTCGTCAAATTTATCTGCTTTCCAACTGTCACCCATTTGGGTTAATCTCACGCAGAGGCGGACCTAGTTGGTCACCTATGTCCGCACTTGCGGACATGAATTTCTGAGTTTTTTTTTTTTAAGTATAGTAGTCAAATATGATGTTGGTTAGATTAGGTTTTGCTTGGATATATAATCAGGGATGTAATGGAAATGAATGGAATACAATGGGATGGAATGAAATGACATATATTTTATGATGCCATACAACAAATCAGCTTGATTAAAAAAAAATGTGTTGGTAATAATTTTTGTTGTTAAGTTGAAGTTTTTTTTTTTCTTATTATATTTTTTGTTTTTTAATGCATTTGAAATTTTCTTTAGAAAAAAAATTCGGGAGCAGCCCCGTCACTAAATATGCGGACATAAAAAATATTTTCTGGGTTCGCCACTAATCTCACGGCTCCTACCACACCAAAAGTGTCGACAAAATCTGATTCGTCAAATTTATTTGCTTCCCAACCGTCACCCACTTGGATTAATCTCACGGCTCCTGCACACCAAAATTGTCGGCAAAATATGATTCGTCAAATTTATCTGCTTCCCAACTGTCACCCATTTGGATTAATCTCACGGCTCCTACCACACTAAAAGTGTCGGCAAAATCTGATTCGTCAAATTTATCACAGAGCTTTAGAGGAAAAGGACATAAAAAAAATACTTCAGCTTTCATTATCTTAGTCGAAATTGCTGTCATATTTAGGAGTGTAAATAAATACTACAATTTAAATATTGAAAGTCTTAGTCTGTGACCCTTATCTAACATTAAAGAATTTAAAGTGGAGAGAAGAGAATCTCCCCTGTATTATATAGTTGCGTGTCTTTATAAATAATTATATTTTTCAGAAATAGTAAAGTGGTGATTATTAATCAAAGTCATAGTGAACTTTGAAAAAAAAATATATTTAAAACTTAACGTAGATATTATTAATTTTATGGACCATTTTGATCGTGTTAGTAAGTGGCCTTTACTTTTAAGCTCTTACCCTCATTTGAGTTCCAAATTTAAGAAGGCCAAACTAGCAAAAGACCCTTATTCTCTTTATGTTGTAGCGTTTCAACCAATTTATTTTCTTTGATATATATATATATATATATATATATATATATATATATATATATATATATCTTAGATTTTTCTTATGTCTAACAAAGCAAAATAGTTGGTGCGCATATAAATATTCCTCTGAAAAGTTATATATTTCTATGGTACGAGGTATTTAACTGCTTTACTTGTTTCAGGTTGTCTTTTCATGTTTGCTTGTCCCACTTTATTCTAACTAGTTTATTTTCTTTGATAAATGTTAAGATTCATCATAACATTTATCAAAGGCAAAGGCAAAATGCAAAATGGTTATGATTCATCATGAGAGAACCTTTCCACTTATTTATATTTATCTTCAACCATTGAAGATACACCTTTTATAAAACTACCATGCCCATAACAATTCCCTTAATTCTCTGTCTTTGCCTAAGACATTTCTTATATTAACTCTCCATTGAGTTTAGGAGAATACCTCTATCTCATAAATCATTATTACATTAAGATATTACACCACATGGAGGAAACATATTCTATTCCAACACTCAAATAGTTCACTCCTCGTCATTAATTAATTCTTATAGTAACTAAACTTTTTATTTATAGCATTCTTAAGTAAAATTTATTTTCTTCCCCGAGAAAATAGAAGTAATCAAGAACTAATTTTGCAACTGGCCCTAATAAATCATTTTCAAAAAGAAAGAACATACTTTTTTTTGGGTACAAGAAACAATATGCTTTATTCTAAACAAGAATGAATATAATCGTTGTGAAGATAAGCAGATCCGTGTATTGCTCTTAAGCACATATCAAGATGACTTGTTGGTGAAGAAGAAACTAGAGAAGCACGGGTAGCAGTTGGAGAAGTTGTCGTGTACTGAATAGGATGCAATTCTGACAAAGTGACAAGCCAAGCTAATACATCATGGTGTCTTGTTTATTTGGCTCTGGTCTCTTTAGTTAGTTTCCTTTTATCTACGGAGACATAAACAAAAGTTTTTCTGTACATACATTTATAAGAGGCAAATAATACCCAATCAATGCATGTAAATTTGTATTTGGGAGAGTAAAGTGTGTAACGAATAAAATCTTAACCTATAAGGAATTACCATCTCTCCCCAATCCCCACTATCCACATCTTGGTTGGCTCAAACGCTTGTGGCCTCTTTTCTTTTACCATATATGGAATTCTATATCTTAAACCAGATTCTTTGACACAGTTATAAAGGGTGAAAATAAAATATTACCAATTTTTATTTTTGTCACAAATTACATATGACAAATTGAAATGATAAAGTTCTTTAGATTGATAAGCAAAACACAACCCCTATAAAACGCTTGTGGCCTCTCTTTTTCCATTCTGGTTTTTAAAATTTACTAAGTTAATTTCATAATACACTTAAAATTAAATCAAATATGATCCATTTTTATTTATTTGTTTTAAAGACTAACTCACTTTAAAAGTCTTAAATATTTGATTCATGACATAAACTAAAGCCACGTACCCAAGTAAACAAAAAATTTAAAATCTTAAAGCAGTATAATTAAGAAGCAAAACACAACCCCTATAAAAGTGTCACAAAAGGCTTCCAACCTCTTTATTTTATTTTATTTTGGTTCATTTTCTGTCTCTTAAGAAGAAGAAGAAAAAATCTTCCGATTAATTAATAGTCCAGACTCCAGCGACTCAAGTGAGAGGGAAAAAGGAAAAAAAGAGAAAGAAATATCCACATTCTATGTAACTGCCTACAACCTCCCCTAAATTAATAGTCCAGTGACTCATGTAGTTTTTCATAACTGTTTTGTTTTTTCTCAAAAAAAAGTCTTCCAAAGTATTTTGCTTCTCCCACTCTCAAATCTACAACAACAACTATCTTCAGTTTCTTCTTGCACACTCTCTTTATCTCTCTCAGGTCTCTCTCTAAGATATTCTATTACACGCCATTGTTTCTTATCTGCATGCACCTATGCACTTAAGCTTTAAGCATTGAACTATATAGGCAGGCGCGTATAGAATAGTAATGTATGATACTATATATATGTTATGTTGGTTCAGTTTCCACTAAATTCAACTTATTTTTCTTGCTTGTTGGAGGTCCTGTTTTTGCTATACCATCATGGCACTCAACATTTACTTCAAGTGGGACACTCTTCAAATTCCAAACTCAGAAATCAACATCTTCCATGAACCAACACTAAAACTAGCACTAGATAACTACTACAATAATCATAACCACAACATCTTTAACTACTCAGACAAAAGCCTCTTCCTTTCAAATACCCTTTTTAATCTTTATTTTGATTCTTACAGTTCCCATTAAAGCTACAGCCCAAAAATTTGATTCATGAAACTGATACGGGGATCGATACCCCGCATCTCCACCACTTTTGAGAACTTGGTTCCCTCAACTCGGCTAAGAAGTCTTTTGCGGAAGTCAATCAACAAGATCCTGGATCTCAGATCTAAACAATCTTACCTCGGCCTGAACTTTACCAGGTCGAGCAGCGCAGCGAAAAACAAAGGGGAGAGAGAGAAAGAGAACACAAACAATTTTTAACGTGGGAAAACTTTCTCCAATGAAGAAGTAAAAACCCACAGGACCTAGTTCAGATCAAACGTCTACTATGAAAATAATGGATACAAAGAATCAAAATACACCAATGTGGTGGTTAACACAACCTCTCCAACAATGGTGATAATCAAACTACCCTAGAGATGTTTCACTCAAACTCTCTCTAGAGATCTCTCAAATACAAAGCTCAAAGCTTTGCTCACAAATCTCTCACATAATCTTCTCCCATTCTCTAATCTAGCCTCCACCCACAACTAATGAATATACAAAGGAGGTGAGATCTAGGGTTTAGGGTTTTTAGGAAATTCCTCAATGGGCTTGGGCTTAGCATTGAAGGAGGAAGCCCAACAAATCTCCCCCTCCGACTTCAATGTGTCGGCTTCAGCATCAACCCGGCTCCTTCACAGCAGTCTTCAAATTTTCTTGCTGGAATCGACTTCGTCGTCATGTCGGACCAATTTTGGTCAATGTGCACTTTGACGAGTTCGAGCTCTCCACCTTCCACCACATC